TCTCTCTCTCTCTCTCTCTCTCTCTCTCTCTGACAAGCATATGCACCCTAAGGCAAACACGTCTTTAAAAAAGAAAGGCCAGAGACTGTCCATTCAGCAGAACATTAGCCACACGCTATTCGGCATGCTAGCGGCTCCTAGGTCTCTGTGAGTTTAAGATGTAGTGTTAATGGCCCTAGGACAAATGGTTGAGCTTAAATGTAAGTGCAAGCAGGCCTCACCTCACCACCAGAGCGCTGCCCCCTCCTTGACTTTTTATGACCCCGAGGCTGGCTTTTTAGCCATAACGTCAGTGTCTCCAAGGAGTCCCTTGTCACTGACAGATTTGGGGTAACAGGGCCGACAGAGGACCGTGGGTGGCATATTGGTTACGTCGCTAGACTCCCCGTGGCCAGCCGCGGTTTGAGTCCCAGACTAAGCAGCTTGAGACTTACGCCAGGCACGTGCACACGTGTGTGTGTGTGTGTGTGTGTGTGTGTGTATGCACCCAAAATCCTGAGAGAAGAATGGAGGAGACGGGATTGCAGCATGACCATTCTCCTTGGGGAGGTGATTCTCGCGTTCTGCCTGTGTCTCTCTGTCTCCCTCTGGTGAGCACAGACACCCTATAACAAAAATCTTTCTTAAACAAAAAAGACATGACCAGCAGGTGGCATGGAGGTTAAGGTGCTGGACACTCCCACATGGTCGATCGCGGTTCGAGTCCCAGACCTGGTGGCTTGCTTTCTCACTTTCCCTCTCTCTCTGGTCAAGTTAAAATAAAAATGAATGAATAATAATTAAAAAAAAAAAAAGCAGCTTTGGCCACGTCAGTTTTCTTATTCATTTAAAATTCACATGGAGCCACATCTTATTTAAAGTTTTCACTTCATCTTCTTTCGTTAAAGATTTATGGTTAATTGACAGGAAACACACAAGCAGAGGAGAAAACACCTTGTGATACAAATTAGAGCAGGTGGGCCGTGGGGCCGCGGTGTGCGCTGTGTCAGGTGGGCCGTGGGGGAGGGCGTGTGCCCTGTGTCACAGGTGGGCCGTGGGGGCCAGTGCGCTGTGGCAGGTGGGCCGTGGGGGACGCCGTGTGCGCTGTGTCAGGTGGGCCGTGGGGGACGCCGTGTGCGCTGCGTCATGGGAGCAGGCTGTGGCACGCAGAGACAATGCTCCGGAGGTCTGGTTCTGGGTTTGAGGCCCAGAGTGGAACACGTGACATTGAGCTCCGTACAGAAACATCGGTGCATACGTGCCTTTAGTCGGCCATAAAGCATGGGGAAGAAGCTGTGATCGGGACAGAGGAGCAGGTGGTGCTGTGGGCACGAAACCCTTTTCAGCACTGAGAACCTGCAGGGGGGAGGGGCTCAGCCCCCGAAGGGCCCAGGTGACAAGGGTGGCATGGAGCAGCCCAGGCAGCAGACAGCAGGGGTCGCCCCACCGGAGGCCGTCACGTCAGCAGGTGGTCTGTGGATCAGTGCTGTGTTCAGAACTAAATAACTGGCTACCGTCGGGGTCCCAGGTGTGAGCCCTGCTTTCTCGAACCAGACCGGAGCAAGGTGCCGACCCCCTACAGCCCCCCACTGCCTGCTGCCGCCCTTGGTGCAGAGCCCAGCTACTGGGGAGGGCCGGGCCTTATCTTCGCCAGAGGTGGCCCTAAGCGAAGGGCGGAGCTCGGGGAGAGCAGGACGCCCTCCAGGTCAGCCAGGCCCAACGCTGAGCGGAGCATGTTCCGTGTTATCTGAGAGCCACGGCGCCCTTCCTGGGTGCCGCAGGGCAGCGTGCCTTCGGACCAGCCGGCTAGCGCTCCCCTGGGAACGGGAACGGGCCCTGCCTTCCGTGGGCGGCCGCGTCCGGCACTGCCAGCTCACCACTAGGAGCATGGGCGGGCGTGGGGGCCTTCAGCTTGCCATCGCGGAGCCCTCTGCATCCCGGTCCACCGTCCCAGGTGCCTGGCCGTGGGGAGCATCTTGGCAGCGGAACGTCACTCACCGTAGACCCTCGCTCCAGCGTGGCTCACACCGGCAGCGACGAGCCGGGGGTCCCCGCACGGCCAGGTAACGGGGCGGCTGCTCCAGGCTCACCAGGGCGGTCCTTCTCAGGACCCTCGCCCTCTGCCGGCGGCTGAAGCTGAGACACGGGTGCTCGAGGCTCCACGTGGGCCGTGATTGAAGGCAGCCGTCGCCCTCGCCCACCTGTCGGTGAGCACGCCTCGCACACAGCAGGTGTGAGTTCGAGGCGGAGGAGAGCCCCTCGTCAGGGCTCTGCTCTGCAGCCGGGAGGCCGAGCGGCAGACCTGCCTCGCAGCCTTTCACAGGGACGGGACTTGGTGGCGCTTGTCTCCAGAGGTGAGTGCATGACGAACCAGGTCACGTCTGGGAGGCGTGAGGCGGACGTGACCTGCGGCCTGTGCTCCTCTCTGGCGCGGAGCTCGGCGCTGCACGGCACACGCACACGGCTGACGGGGTGCCCACGCTCCTGGCCGAGCAGTGTGCGCCCTGCCGGAGCTGCTCCCGGCCAGCCGTGCGGGTATCCCTGCAGGCCCCAACTCCACGTGCGAGGTGTGTGAATTCTGTCTCATTCGGGTTTAACCCCTCTTTGAGGAAGAGTGTGTCAAAAT